GTTCTTGTTACACTAAAATGAGGTGAGAATAACTCAGACCACAGGGTATTTCTTAGTTGTTCTGCATTATGGGCTGGCCTCGTGGCGTCTTCTCTCCATCCCATTCCTATGAGGGCCAACCAACTCTGACTTCTGAGCTCACTCTTTTTCCTTTGCCCTGTCTCTTGGAAAGGATAGGAGAGAGTGGGGACCCAAATTTGCTGGAGGGTGCAACTTTCACCTGAAGGAGGTCTGACCAGACCTCCAGTGCTGCCAGCCCTTCTCTATCCTTCCCTATGATGTGCACATTTTCATGATCGCAGCTCTCCTTTTCTGCTGTCAGCAACTGCCCTAGGTGCTACAGATGTGAATTGAGGAGCCCATTCAAGCTAAAGGCGGATAAATGATTTCAGAAATTAGCCTTGACTGAGTCTCTGTGGTGAAAAATGGAGGCATTTCTCTCATACGTGTTAGGACTTGCTCAATGTATGCTCTGCATCCACTGTCCAAAGCCACTGCTGCTCACTTGCTTTGTTTGGACTCGATGGCATCATTGACATTCATGTTGGTTTCATGTATTGGAATAATTTCTGGAGTAACTTTTTTTAGCATCACTTTATTGACTGCTTATTAGGCAATAAAAATTCCTGTTGGCCCACCAATATAGAGCACACATGGGCTGCCCAGCTGCATTAGGAAGAATATTTAATAACCAGCAGTCCATCTGCCTCAGCAATGGGAAGGAGGAATGAGCAGGAGAACCTTTTCATGTTGGAATAGGGAGCCTGTAATAAAAAAGAAGAAAAGCAATAAATGACTGAGATGGCATTCAAAACAGACACATACAGAGGCATATTATCACACAAAGACTTGTAAGAATTATTTGAGAGGCAACTGGTGCTGTCCCTTGCCCACCACTGGGAGCCGACTTTTGTCTTTGCTTTGTTCTACCCACAGTGAACAAAATATGGGGGCAAGAAATGTCTTGACAAGAATCTAATCTCGTGACAAATACAAAAGTAATACTATGCTGTGTTATAACTGTAGTTCAGCTTTACTGCAGGTCCTGCATGACAATGTTCAGCCCTCTCAGGCTGCCTTTCAGGGAAGGTGCCTCATCCAGGAAAGAGTTTGCAGAGAATATCCATGGTGGTTTCCTCACTGCAATGTATGTTAAACTCTTACTTAGGTCAAAGCCTGCTAGGAACATTAAGGTCTGTCTGTGGTCTTTCCATAGAGACAGTAGTGCTCATCTGCAGCAATTGCCTCACACCTGGAGGAGCAGAAGTATATTTTTTAACTCAGCAGAGGGTACTGAAGTGTTGGCTAGATTTAGGAGCAGACTGGCTAAGCTCATGTCAATTTTATTAGCATTAAAAGAGCTTAAATTCATATCTGAAAATATCATTTATGAGTTCTGACTTCTGTTTTTTTCCAACTGCATGACCTTCATATCTTCACTTCGTTTCTAAGCTTACTGGGCTGTCAGCGTATGTGTATCCTGAAAGTTGAGAGATAAATAATTATGAATGATCTTTCATGTTTACTGTTTGAGTAAGATCCAAACTATTCCTGTGCAGAAGGAGACAAAGGCAGAATATTTGTGCAGAAAAAACTGTGTCTGCATGATCTGGTAATGCAGTCCAGTAGGGATAGATTTGTAGAGCGCTGGAGCTCCAAGGTCCAAAGCCAGACTATCCATGCATCCACATTCCATGATATTCATGGATTAAGATACTTTCCTTCAGAAGATTCCAGTCCAGACCTGTCAGTGGCCAGTGGAGACTGGAACAATGTGGTATGGATGTCTCACATCTCCCAGTTTAGCTTAATTGGAAGAAAATCTGGTTTGTGCACTCGTTAGTCATGATGTGTTGCAAACCAATGTGTGTGAGAAGTGAAATGAAGAGGAGATTTGCTTTAAAAGCTCTCTCCTCATTTGAACAGATTTGAACCAATGAAGGAAAAAACCCACATCAATTAAAGAAGAACACATATTTCCACACCCAGTTCTCACATCCAGGAAGAAAAAAAAATAAAATAAAAAGAAGAGTGAAGAGAAAATTCACAAGTTTTTTCAGCACCTGTTGCAGCATCAACTGTGCTTTCTGATGCATAAATGAAGTGGGAAGCCTTCACTTCAAGAGGTACTGGGGAATCATACACTTGTCAGTCAGCTTTGAAGTATGACCAATCAGCAAATACCCTGGAGGTCTTACTTTATTAAATGAAAATTGCAATTTAGGTTTCAGGTTCTACATTTATAATAAAATTTCCCCCTTGGTTTTAAATTCCCATTCTTGTTACTCTCCAGCTGATCTCCAGTCTGAACAGGTGAAGTTATATCCCTGCTTCATGAGACTGAAGCAGCACATACTGCACTGGTGAGCATTAAATACCAATCGTTAGATGTCCTTGAAGAAATCTGGAAATCTTCTGCCTGTAAGGACATGAAAAAGTGTTAAAGCAGAGAAGATAAATTGTGTCTGACAATAGGCTGTAGAACGAGGCTTCTCTGTGAAGAAAGACCTAATAAATTAAAGGTGACTTGCAAAAGCTTTCCTTTTGAAGGAGATAAATTCAGAGATTTGCCTTGCAAGAGGCGCAGGTACTGGAAACTCAAAGAACCCACCTGTTGGCGGTGTGTCGCCGTCTTCTCGCGCTGCAATCTCTTGCAACAAAGGGAGGCTGTAGCAGCTCCTGCAGAGTTGGTGCTGCCAGGTGCTGCAGGAGCCTTGCGTGCAATGTGGGCAGTGCAGCAAAGCTGGATTAGTGCTAAGGGGGTCAGTGCATACCAAGCTCCACAGGGTTAACAGAAGCTGAATTTAAAAATGAGCCACCTGTGGTACACATTTGTGGCCTCAGTACTTGGTGTATTTTGGTCAGAATCTATCTGAAGCACTCGGTAAAGCTTGACATACTGCATGGCAGGGAGGAGAAGGGACAGCAAGAGCAAGGCTGAGATAGCTGCGGGATGGCTGGGTTTCAGGGTCTGCGTCAGGGTCTGCATTAATTTTTGGAGCACTCCTGCAGTAGACAAGAGATAAATCCAGACCCTCTAAATGTTTCTTGGCCCAGAGAATTGGAGACCTTATAGTGGCCTTGCAGTACCTGAAGGAGGCCTACAGGAAAACTGGGGAGGGACTTTTTAGAAGGGCAGATAACAAAAGGAAGAGGAGAAATGGCTTTAAACTGGAAGAGGGTAGATTTAGACTAGATATCAAGAAGAAATTCTTTACTGTGAGGTGGTGAGACAGTGGAAAAGATTGCCCAGGGAGGTTGCGAATGCTCCCTCCCTGGAAGCATTCAAGGCCAGGCTGGATGGGGTTTTGAGCAACCTGGTCTAGAGGGAGGTGCCCCTGCCTATAGCAGGGGGTTGGAACAAGGTGATCTAAAAGGTCCCATCCAACCCAAACCACTCTATGATTCCATGATTCATTCTATGATTCATTCTGTGATTCATTCAATAATGAAGGTTGGAGAGGAGCTTGGGATCATCCAGTCCCACAGTGGGAATAATCCCCAACCAGCGCTGGTTGCTCAGGGCCTCATCCAGCCAAGTTTGGAGAATATCAAGGAATGGAGACTCCAGGACTTGAACTTTCCAATGCTGATTTTTTTCCTCTTCTATTGTCAAAAATTGTCCCAGTTGCAGCCTGTGCCCATTGCTCTAAATATTGTAAGGCTGCAGCAAAGTCCCACATTCAGCTGCTTCTCCACTGCAGTCAGCCCCAGTCCCAGGGCTGTCCCAAGTACAGGATTTTGCATTCATCTTTGCTGAACTCCAGGAAGCTGCAGGGGTCCCATGGGTTCCAAGCCAGCCGTTTTTAGAGCAGACCTCAGCTAGAAAAGCTAATGAAGACTACCACAGCAAATCCATTAGGAACTGTCACTGAATTTAGAGGAAAGTACGAATGGCAAGGAAATCCTCCAGAGAACAGCAAGAAAAAGAAAAAAGGATGTGAAAAATAAAGGCAGTCCCAGTTCTTTCACTCCTCTCACTTGATGAGACCTCAGAGCTGCATGGATCTTATTCACTGAGTACCAGTTTCTGACAGACTATGGTTGCATGCAAAAGCACATTACATCTTAGCACAGTTTGCAGCTGTGATCGCTGAAACAGAGACCTTTAACACTTCTAAGAGATATGAAACACAAAGAAAGCTGTCCAGTCTCTGGGACCAGCCACTTGAGGGAGCCAAGATTACGTACACCGAGAGCCAGCTGATTACATAAACACTTTTGAAGTGTTGTAGCTGGAACCACTCTTTTTCTCTAATGCTAAATTTGTTTGGTCAGAAAGCTCTGAGAACTTCTTTCTCAGATTTAAATGCTGTGTAATTTGGCTTGTAAAGAAAGACTTGTGGTATCTTGCTGTAGCTGTGTTGAGTCTGTCCCCCTGGATGACTTTTGGTTGCATGTCTCAGTTTCAAACAGATTTGATAGCTGTTAAGAAGTCTCAGCATTAATTTTCTACAAATGAGTGAGTATTGACAAAACAATCATGAAAGTGAGTAGAGAAGTGCTGTCTTTTTATGAAATCAACTGGATTAGTGGGAAACAATGCACATCTTGTGGCCCACAATGTTTTCTTCAGATCCTAGATCAGCATCTCTATTTTAAACTTTAAAGGCTCAACAGAAGAGAAAGTTAAAGGAGAGCTATAGGAAATCACTTAAAAGTCACAGGAAATCGGGATCCAATTGTCAGAGATACCCATTCAAATGCTACACAGCTACCAAGACAACCTCCCTTTCTGTCTTTACTGAATTATAATCTTCTGTGTGTGTGTGATGGACAAAATAGGTTTTGCAAAGTTTCTTGACAGAAAATGGTAAGACAAGTTCCATTTAAAATGATTTTCGGGTTTCAAAAATGATTGCTACAAACCTATGGAAAGTGACAAGACAACCCTTTGATTCTACTTATGATTCACACCCACGCATGCTAGGGAATAGTGCTGGCATTTTGTCAGCAGTGTTGCATTATGAGCTCTCATTTGTGTTCCTTTTTTTCCCCAGGTGGATTTATTTCTTGTCCACATCAAAATGCAGAGACTGCTCCATTCATCAGGTCCATGGCATACAAAGGAGATGTTTCTTCTATCCTAGCAAGGAAAACTGAGAATCAGAAGCATTCAGCAAGCAAACAGGAACAGATGCCTGAAAGATCTCGTATCAGCAGATACAGTATCAATAAACCAGTAAGTGGCAAATGACAGCACTGACATCTTTCCTATACGTACTGAAATACAAGCCCAGCCAATGATGACATCTGACTCTAAGAACGAGTTCAGAAAGGCTCCACTGGGGGCTGGGACATGATGAACATATGACAGAACAATGATAATAAGCATCGTGCCCCTTGCCCACAACAAACTTCTCTTCAGAATAGACAGATGTCAATTTGACTCAATTGGTTTTTAAAAAGAGCTTTGTAATGCATATCTGTCTATCTCTCTTTCTCTTCTTTAAGTGTATGTAAACACACATAAGCAGATACAAATGTCTATTTCTGTCCTCAGGGTGGAATGGCTTGTAGGTAAAATACCTGTAAACGAAGCCTCCTCCCAACAGTCCCAAGTATGCACTGCAGATGCTGTTGCAAAGGACAGAAGCATCAGCACCATTCACCTTGTGTTTTCTTGTCCTTGTATTCAAGAAAAAATCTCCCTATAATTAGAAAGCAGAATTAGTACTGAAACAATTTTCACATCACTGGTCCTTCAGCCTCCTCAGATATTATTTGTGGTATCTGCTTTCATGCAAGAGGATGGGACCAAATAAAAGCAATCACAAGGATGGAAATGTTCTCAGCAGGAGGAAAAGGGATTATAAAAAAGCAGAGGAAAATGACTTCTGAATGTTTTGTAGTCCTGAGCATCCATATGCCATTTGAGCTATGTAGAGTGTTAACGGATAGATCTAAAAATAAAGAATACATTATTTATTAACTTATCAGAGCTTTTAGAAAATAGGAGCTGAATTCACTTAGCTAATAAGCTACCTCAGATCACATCCATTGGAAGATATATTCACATGAATTGGATGAGGTGTGCATTTGGTCTTCATGAGGCCACTTAGGAACCTAAAGTTACTTTTTTCTTCTAGGAAAAATACACGGAATAGTTCCATTTTCGAATATTTTATGAAGTCTATATGCTATTCTATATCTGCCCCTTTCCATGCTCCTCCCTACATAAGTTTGTGTAATTCCAGTTTTATTTCAGAACAAGATTTGTTTGTAATCTGAAGGATGTGATATCACAGAGCAGATTAAAGAAAGAAAATATGCTGTTGAGAACATAGCATGAAGGCTATTTACTGGGGGGTCTCATGATCTTCCAGCCCTTTATGATGAGCAGAACAAGCCAGTGAATGTACCAGGATGTAAAGAGTTTACAGTCTTGACAGCCTGGACCTGCTCTCTCAGACCACATTCCCACACAGCCTGCATTTATATTCATGTCTCTGTCTAGCTATGCTGAATGGAAGGAGATTAGCAACGTGGGCTAGAGTGCTGTCATGGTGTCTTGTGCTGCGGTCAGATGTCTTTTGCAGTCCAAGGAAAGAGCTTTACGGGTTCCTGGAGAGGCCTGGTGTGTCTCCACACTGCTCTGAAGGATATAGGCCAGGTTCAGAAGCAAGGCACGGGTCTTGAATATTTTCATAATTTTTGCATTAACTAGCAAAGTGAGAACTACTCTTATTAAAAGTCATTTCATCCACATACATGGAGGCTACATCAAAGGCAACAGGAGATGAGGACTTCAGAGTCTATGCTGCCTTTTCTGGGCTGTTAGGCTGGATAATCCTGGAAAAGGCTTCCCTTTAGTCCAAGGCAAACTCAGAGTAGGAGCCCAGGCCTAGTCTTCCACAGGTACTGAGTAAAGCTCTGCTCTTACCCTTCTCCCATGCTCCAGCCATTCATTTCCCTGACCTGGTGACAATCATCCCTGCTCTGCACACCTGGGCCAACTCAGGATCAACCACTCGCATGGAGATGAAGGGCAGAGAAGGAGAAAGGACGTATCAGAATTATGGAGATCACCTTCTGCAAAGGGAAAAATCCTTGATGAAGAAGAAAGGCCATAAACTACATAAAAGTTTATTTAGTGACTAAGGAGGAAGAGAAAAAACATATATATTCTCTACAGCTCTTACTTTCAATACATGCATTGCATATTATTTATTTACATAATTATCCATTGGTATAGCTTTTTTTACAACTTCACTTGGAAAACTATGCTGTGCCTTGGCCTAAGCATCCAGTCTGAATGCAGAAGTGCCATCTGGGTGCCTAGAAATAATTTCTGATGCCATTGGTCAATTTTAATTGTATTTGACAGGCTGAAGTTTGAGAGAGGAAGTTTCTTCCAGTTATTTCAAGCAAACAGTGGGTAGGTACAACAAACACCAGTGGCTGTTCCAGGCTGAAAGCTAAACTCAGCCTTGGAGAAAAGGAGAGGGCTTTACCTCTTAGTGTAGGCTTTATGTTTTTTGTGATGCATAGAATTACTTATTGTATGATTTGCTTTCATTAAATTTTTTCCAGATGTCCAGAGACTGTAGCATGCAACGTAATTGAAAGAACAACCATTACCTGTGTTTTAAAAATAAATCCTTCAAAAAAATTGGGTTTTGTTTTGAACTCCAAGGTTTTATTTTTCACATTCAAAGATTAAAAAAAAAACCAAAAAAACAAAAAAACACACTTTTTTTCTTGTTCTACCTATAACATTATATTCCTTCTCAGTTTTGAAAAGGTCATATCACCTGATGTAATAATTGCATGCAGCTGTTATGTAATTGTTCCTCATGTTTCTATAAAAGGCAGTAATTGGAAGAGTTTCTTGAATGTTATTATGCAGCAGGTGCCTCCTGGGGACAACAACAATAGCTATTCATCTGGAGGCAACAGTTCCCATAGGGAGCTTAGGGTTGCCTGTGGGAGACGCCATGGACCTGGGAAATTATGTTCCCCATCTCCTTGCCGTGCAGACAACAGCAGAGCGTGGGTAGATGAGCTTTGCCAGCTCCATCTGTCCCACAGGCTGGGTGAGTCAGCTTGGGAAGCAGCATGCATGTGCACACGATGTCCCTCTTGCCAGGACCAGGAGCAAGGGTTCCACCAGCTAGAGCCTGCAGCCAGCATCATTCAGTTCTTCTTTCATATCACCCTGGGACCCAAATTTTCCTGGGACCCTGGGTGGGGGAAGAATGAAAGATGTGGGGCTCTCCATCCCTGCTTCCTAGAAGATTCACGTTGGGAATAACTAGCAATACGTGACCTTCCTTTGCGTGTCCTGCCACCGACTGCAAAACCCACTTTTCAAGCCCACAGTACTGTAGTTCAGTCTTCTCCCTCCAGATTTACTTAGGAGTGATGAAGTAACACCTACTATTTACATATCACACTTAGATTAGATTCAGATTTCAAGGCCAGGCTGGATGGGGCTTTGAGCAACCTGATCTAGAGGGATGTATCTCTGCCTATAGCAGAAGGGTTGGAATGAGATGAGACTTCAGACCTGTACTTTAACAGTCAGTGTTCATGAGTGTCTGTTCCGATGGGCTGTAGAGCAGCATGGTATTTTTCCTCCAGATGACTGAATTGGGTTGCACTGACTTCCATCACCCAAAGGCTAGCATGAACAAGGTAACTGATTTATACAGGAGCTCCCAAGAGAGTAAATACCAAAATAAGTCATCTGAGGAACTTTCCTGCACCAGAGAACAACCTAATGCTAACTGCGATGCCAGAGTAAATTGCAGCAGTCATCTGTTACATTTCATCCAGCCATTCTGCTCAGTTTAATTAACCTTTCGGGAATTAGCATTTTGTGGACTTAGGATACCTGCTCTGAATTTCTGGCAGCCATAGCAGCTCCATCACAGCTGCAGAGTGACTTGTCTCAGTCAGAACGAGGTGATACCCAGCAGTGCCTTTAAGGACAGGTCTCTGAGCAGCAGGAGGAACCATGGGCAGCACAGAGGGGTTGAGGCAGCCTGTACCTCTGCACGGGCTGCTCCATGCCCCACCACTCAGAAACTGTTCATTTCCCACCTCTGTGGGCTGCAGGTTCTTCACTCCTTGCAAAGTCTCCTGGGCACACTTTGTCCTCGTTCACCACTTTGCACTTACTTACAGCCATTTCCAAGCACCTTTTTAAAGTTGGCAGCTGCTCTGCCCACACTTACCAATCAAAGACTTGTATTGTGCCTCTGAAAAACCATGAGGCAACAAGCCTGCTGCTCACAAGAAATAGTGCCCGTCACAGGGGAGCACAGCCCACACAGGTGCCCACCGCTGTGCCGTAGGCTGCACCTACCCATGTTCCTATATTCCCACCCTTATATCCTGCCTACTGCTTGAGCAAGGCATTGAAATATCCAAGAAAGCATCTGGCCAGGAATGAAACAATCTTGGCTAAGCAAAATGTGCTTGCAGCTATCCAAGAGTCATTTTGGCCTTGGGGTGCAATACTGCCCAGATTCCTTGTGTTATGCTGTTGGAAATACCTCCACTGAAGGTGCTTCCAGTCCTTCTGAACATGGCCATGCTGCCACTCTCTCCCTCTCACCTTTTTTGCCCTACCTATTTTTCTGTGCCTTTTCCCCTCTTTGCTCGCCTCAGGGTGGCACCTTAGGAATCTCCAAAAGAGAGTCTGACCTTACTGGGAGAGGATTGTTTCTCCTGACATTGTCTTAGCTAATCTTGTACCATTAATCAGTCTCAGACTGTTCTCCATGTTAAGCAGATCCTCACTTGCTCTCTTGGGGGCTGAACCCCATCTCTCTGGGCCTCTCCTTTCCTCCCATGTGCTGAGAACCAGGCAAGGCAGTGTAGGAGCACCCAATGCTCTCTGCAACAAAGCAACTTTGACCTCCTACCATCCACTCCATGGCAGATTTTCTCCCTGCCTCTGAGAACAGAAAAAAAATAATAGATCAATGAGGCTTTGTCAAATAATTCTGGATTGTGTTCTGGGCTGGGAATTGAAAAAGCACATTCACAGAATCACAGAATTGTAGGGGTTGGAAGGGACCTCCAGAGATCACCGAGTCCAACCCCCCTGCCAAAGCAGGTTCCCTACAGCAGGTCGCACAGGTCGGCATCCAGGCAGGTCTTGAACATCTCCAGAGAAGGAGACTCCACCACCTCCCTGGGCAGCCTGTTCCAGTGCTCCGTCACCTCACTGTAAAGAAGTTCTTGTGCACGTTTGTGCAGAACTTCCTATGCTGCAGTTTCCAGCCGTTTCCCCTTGTCCTGTCTCCACTCACCACTGAAAACAGTCTGGCCTCGCCATTCTGCCCCCCACACCTTAGATATTTGTAGACCTGGATCAGGTCCCCTCTCAGGCTCCTTTTCTCAAGGCTGAACAGACCCAGTTCACTCAGCCTTTCCTCATAGGAGAGATGCTCCAGGCCCTTCACCATCTTCGTGGCCCTCCGCTGGACTCTTTCCAAGAGATCCTTGTCTTTTTTGTACTGGGGAGCCCAGAACTGGACACAGTGCTCCAGATGAGGTCTTACCAGGGCAGAGTAGAGGGGGAGGATCACCTCCTTCGACCTGCTGGCCACGCTCTTTTTAATGCACCCCAGTAAGCCATTGGCCTTTTTGGCCACAAGCACACTGCTGGCTCATGGCCAACCTGTCATCCACCAGGACACCAAGGTCCCTTTCCGCAGGGCTCCCCTCCAGCAGGTCATCCCCCAGCCTGTACTGGTGCATGCAATTATTCCTCCCCAGATGCAAGACTTTACACTTGCTTTTGTTAAACCTCATCTGGTTTTTTTCTGCCCAGCTCTCCAGCCTGTCCAGGTCTTGCTGAATGGCAGCACGGCCTTCAGGCGTGTCAGCCAATCCTCCCAACTTCGTATCATCAGCAAACTTGCTGAGGGTGGCCATTATCCCCTCATCAAGGTCATTGATGAAGATGTTGAACAAGACCGGACCCAGCACAGACCCCTGAGGAACACCGCTGCTTACAGGCCTCCAACCGGACTCTGCACCACCAACAACAACCCTCTGTGCTCTGCCAGTCAGCCAGTTCTTAACCCACCTCACTGTCCACTCGTCTATCCCACACTTCCTCAGCTTTGTTATAAGGATGTCGTGGGGGACAGTATCAAATGCCTTGCTGAAATCAAGGTAGACTACATCAACTGCTCTCCCCCTATCCACCCAGCCAGAATTAAAGATATCCTGGATCAATAGGGTTCATGCAACATTTGAACGTGACCTGTTAGTCCGCTACTAATGCACTTTCATCTTTACCTCTGGTTTGGGGGATTTGCCTGTAAGAACAGCATTCTCTGGAAAGAGTAGGAAGGGCATTATCTGTGAAAAACAACAGGAAACACAGTTTTTCCTGTAATCGTATGTAATTATTAAAAAAATCAATTTCCCTTCCTCACCAGAGATCTATAAACTTCATATTGAGAAGTATGACTTTAAGAATATACACAAGAAACATAAAAGAGAATATTTAAAAAAAAATAATAAATAAACCTAGGTCACATAGAAAGCTAATGCATAGATATACAGCCATTTTCTTGGTAATTTAGCAGTCACTTTAAAAGACAACACAACATCTCCACCCTTTACAGCAGAAAAAAAATAGCCAAGTAGTCTGCTATCAAAGGAGTTATCTTCAGCACATTTTCTGATTGTGGTTTGGTGTTTTTTTTTTAATCCCATCTCCAGGTGTATCAGTCTGCGTGAAACAGAATAATTATTGCTGGTTCATAAAGAAAGGTGATAATTTAAAGCACATTTTGGCTCTTTCCCTTGAGGGAATTTAATTGAAAAGTTGTTCTTTCCAACTGCACTTTTTAATATTGCTGGACTACTCTGCCATTCAACATGGAAGGGCCTGATTTTTCTGACACGTTGCTTGAGATTACATTTACTTGACTTCTTGCATGCTTCCATTCCTTGGAAAATTCTTTAGTAGAAAATGATATCCTCAATTTCATACCAATCTGTTATTTTTTAAGAAAGTGAATAAGGCTCAACTCAGTGGCTCATTCTGGATTTACAGGTTGTGAGGGTTCAAAAGAGCCTTTGCTCTATCTGGCTGATACGTTTCCTGTACACAGAGCCCAGTTTCAGAGATTGAATTTGCAGTAGTCACTTTGCCAGGGAAAACATTTCATCTTTCATTTGTATTTATAAATAAACTCAGCAGTCCACCTACACTGTTTTGTCAACGGAGTTACAGCAGAATGGTGCTGGTAGCCTTGCTGTGGGTAGAGCTTTTGCCCACTACATCAGGCCGCCCAGGGCCCCCTCCATCCTGGCCTTGAATCATCACGAGGCACTGGAATACTGCTTGTTGTAGTCTAGTTGTATGTATTTTTTTCTTTTCAATAAAATTCTTTATTTTAGTGTCTTATTTATTCCCCCCTTGTCTTCCTCCACTCCAGGACAACCCCCATATTATTCTGAGTAAGCACAGAGATTGGCATCTTAGCAAAAGCAATAGGTCACTTTCCTTCCGAAATGCACCAGGTCATTGATGGAACCCCACGATTAAGAAGGCCTTGGTTGGGTTGCTCAGGCTTCATTTCTTCCACTAAAGATACGAGAAAATTCCCACTGTTTCTACAGAGCCATTTAAATGAGCCATGTACCAAATTCTTGCTGATCTAAAAAGAAGAGACAAACCTTGAGCTCCTTGGAGGTCTGTCCTGTTTGATGGTCACCTGCCTGACTCCTGCTCGTGGCAGGGACCTGGCTTTCAGGAAATCCTCTCCGAGCACCAACCATAAAATCAAAACAAAAGAACACAACAACAGCAGCAGCAGCCAAACACCTCACCTTTAGTTGCGTCTGAGTTGAGCCTCTACATTCCTGAAACATTTTATTTATGACCTTTTGCATTTTATTTTACATTGTCCTTCAGTTAAGCAAAGTGCATGAAGTGGTGGCTGCTCTGAAGATGATGGATGAGGCTCCCTGCCGCTCGCAGCCCATGAGTCATTTGCTAATTTCCTCAGCTAAAACTGACAGACAGTTACCAAGCATTTCATCGCAGCCAACCAGGCCTTTATTTCTGAGCTGGCTGTCAATCTTCTGATAGCAGTGACTACAAAAACTGCTGCCTACAACACTGTCTCTCAAAGCTTTAATATTTTATCACTGTTGCTTCAAGTTCTCGCTCTCTTTCCTCCACAAGCATTAAGATCCTGACTATACAATAGCACCAATACACTGAGCCTTGCATCTTCACTGCTCTAACTATTCGCTCTGTATCTGCTTCTTCACAGCACATTACTCAAGAACAATGCTGTTAGGAGAATATTTTATTGGAAAACACCTCATTATTGGTGGATGCTTATTTTTGAAACTCTTTCTAAAGGGATCCCAGAGGGTCTGCTAATTGCAGCATATGATTTCTAATATAAACTCAGCACCTGTGTGTGTGTGCCTGGTAGCAGCTTCCAGCTGTGACAACCACCAGAGCAGATCCTAGCACTGCTACTCAGTTTGAACAGGTGCTGATATGGGGCAGTGGCTGGATGTGCTGCCTGGAGGAGCAGTGCTGCCCATGTGTTTTCAGCTCCTTGGCCTCTCTGGGAGGTCAGAGCTGGGAAGCTTCCCCCCTGATGTGCACTTTCAATCCTTGTCCAGACATGTTTAAACAAATCAAATGCCTCATTTTGATGGAGCATGATCTTCCCATGCAGAAGCTGTAGATGTAGCTCACTGTTGTAAAAGGAAACATCCTCTTTGGTTGGATAAATAATGCACATCCGTGCAGTCAGTCAGAGCTGACACGATCTCAGGATGCTTCCATTCCCAGGAGAGCCTCATGAGGCTCTGCAATTTGATTTCTTCTCCTCCATATGCTGCCACCTCCCTGTCAGCTTTTTAACTGTGTTCAAATGCTAAATCCCCATCAGAATATAGCACAAATAGAGGAAAGTAGCTGGGACAGCAGGCTAGGAAGAGACTGCACAGGTCTGGTAGTCATGACACATATCTGGGCCAGCTTTACAGGCTGATAAAATTCTGTGTGAAATTTAATAATTACTTTAGCCTTTATTGCTCAAATCCGCATCAGGGTAAACTTTATCTCTGACCCTCTTAAAACTGTTTTTATCTCCTGGTGTTTTTTTTTTTTTTCCCACCTGGCATTGAAAACAAGCATACCTCCTTAGTAAAAGGGCCTTTCTTCTCCTCCATGGCACATCCCCTATCCCTCTGCCTGTCCTCTTGGCCTGTTAGCACCTGCATCCTCTGAACTGCATTTTTGAGACAGCAATCGGAGCTGCACAAAGTGCTCCAGGCTTTGCTCTCCCTGCTGAAAACACCTGGAAGCTTTACCTTGCTGTAGAGGAATGCAAAAATGAACCTAAATCAGACATCATTGGAAAGTTAAAATATGACGTTAATTAATCTAGTCTCAAAATCCCACACAAACCCCTCTTATTTTTTGGCTAGATCTTAACAGCTGGCAGAAGCTCAGACTCTAGAAATATTTTGCCTTCTTATTTACTCAGCTAAAAATAGCTTTCAGTGTTAAAGCAGCCTTTTGTGTTAAACCACCTTTGTGTATGTGCAAGTATCTAGATATACGTGTATAAATGTTATATGTAGGTCACTCTGAAAGTGATGCCTCCTATTTATTTCCACAGAAACTACAACAAATACAGAGAGCACAATACCACTAGTTGATAGAGCAAATTCTCAGCTACTAAACCCTATTTTCAAAAGTCACCACCATTAGCCAGGCATTTATGCTAGCAACGAACAAGAACCTGCATGCTGCACTCATCAAAATCTGCACCAGTTAGGGTGACCCACTGTCACCACCATTGCTGCTGTACCACCCACTGCCTCACTATGCTCACATACATCCGCTTGCTGGTCTCCATAAACCTTCAGCAAGCATTGCTGAATGTCAGTGGGGACACTGCTTTCTACACAGAGGAATTC